CCCCCCGGCTCTATCCTAATGCCCCTCCCGTCAACCAACTCCCCACCCCCCACACCCCCTGCCAACCGCCTCCCACCCTATCCTACAGACCCTCCCACCAACTGACTCCCCTCCCCCTTATACACCTCCTGCCAACTGCCTCCCTCCCCTTTACACATCCCTCTCCAACCGCCTCCCACCCTATCCTACAGACCCTCCCACCAACTGACTCCCCTCCCCCTTATACACCTCCTGCCAACTGCCTCCCTCCCCTTTACACATCCCTCTCCAACCGCCTCCCACCCTATCCTACAGACCCTCCCACCAACTGACTCCCCTCCCCCTTATACACCTCCTGCCAACTGCCTCTCGCTCTATTCTACAGACCCTCCCGCCAACCACTATCCTACAGACCCTCCCACCAACTGACTCCCCTCCCCCTTATACACCTCCTGCCAACTGCCTCCCTCCCCTTTACACATCCCTCTCCAACCGCCTCCCACCCTATCCTACAGACCCTCCCACCAACTGACTCCCCTCCCCCTTATACACCTCCTGCCAACTGCCTCTCGCTCTATTCTACAGACCCTCCCGCCAACCACCTCCCCTCCCCCCCACAGCCCCCCAACCACCTCCCACCCTATCCTATAAACCCTCCTACCAACTGACTCCCCTCCCCCTTATACACCTCCTGCCAACTGCCTCTCTCCCCTTTACACATCCCTCTCTAACCGCCTCCCACTCTATCCTACAGACCCTTCCACCAACCACCTCCCTTCCCCATACACACCCCGCCAACCGCCTCCCGCTCTATCCTACAGACCCTCCCACCAACTGACTTCCTTCCCCCTAGACTCCTGGTCACCAACCTGTCTACTGCGATCAACTGGTTGATTTTGGGGGCACAACCAGTCAATTGGAGGTGTTCCAGCCCCTCCCCCCCCATTGCTCCCTACTGCTATGAAGGAGCCCACGCTGGTGCTACCTCCTGGGAAAATAGAGGTAGCACTGGCTTCCTGCAGCATGGGGAGGGAAGTCCCATAGCTGCACATCAGATCCTGTGTCTCAGGAAGCATGTGGGCTGCTCCTTCCCTCCCCCAAACAGCCGGCACACTTCCTGAAAAGCCAGGTCTGGCACGCAGCCAGGAACTTCCTTCCCTGTGCTGCCTGTCTTCCTTCCTGTGCTGGGGGGAGAGAGAGGAGGAGGGGAAAGAAGTCCTGGGCTGTGTTCCAGCTCCGACTTCTGAGGCATCAGATCCTGTGTCTCAGGAAGCATGTGGGCTGCTCCTTCCCTCCCCCAAACAGCCGGCACACTTCCTGAAAAGCCAGGTCTGGCACGCAGCCAGGAACTTCCTTCCCTGTGCTGCCTGTCTTCCTTCCTGTGCTGGGGGGAGAGAGAGGAGGAGGGGAAAGAAGTCCTGGGCTGTGTTCCAGCTCCGACTTCTGAGGAAGCATGTGCACTGCTCCTCCCATCCCCAAAACACAGGGGCTGTGTCTAGACTGGCAAGTTTTTCCACAAAAGCTACTGCTTTTGCAGAAAAACTTGCCAGCTGTCTACACTGGCACCTTGAATTTCCACAAAAGCACTGACTTCCTGCTGTCTGAAATCAGTGCTTCTTGTGGAAATACTATGCTGCTCCCGTTCGGGCAAAAGTCCTTTTGCGCAAAACTTTTGTGCAAAAGGGCCAGTGTAAACAGCTGAGATTTGTTTTGCGCAAAAAAGCCCTGATCGTGAAAATGGCGATCGGGGCTTTTTTACGTAAAAGTGCGTCTATATTGGCATGGATGCTTTTCTGCAAAAAGTGCTTTTGGGGAAAAGCATCCGTGCCAATCTAGACACTCTTTTCCACAAATGTTTTTAATGGAAAACTTTTCCGTTAAAAGCATTTCCAGAAAATCATGCCAGTCTAGACGCAGCCTGAGTGAGTTTCCTGAAGAGTCAGAGCTGGCATGCAGCTGCAGGACCTGACCTTGCACCCCCCCAACAACTCATGGCAGGAAGTCCCTGGCTGTGCACCAAATCTGACTTCTTAGAAAGTGTGCTGGCTGTTTTGGGGAGAGGAGGAACAGCACACACTGTGGGATCCCCAGGTACTAGCTGAGCTGTCCCTGCCGCCTGGCCAGACCCCCCACAAGCATCCTGCCCCCTGGCAAGTCTCCCACTTGCACCCTGCCCCAACCTCTACCAGCACCCTTCCCCCTGGCCAAACCCCCATCCAGCACTTTGCCAACACACAATCCTGCACTCTGCCACTGCCTCATGGAGAGATATACCTACCACACAGAGCTGGAAGGGACCTTCAGAGGTCATCAGATCCAGCCCCTGGCCCTCACAGCAGGACCAAGTACCATCCCTGACAGATTTGCCCCAGATCCCTAAATGCTCTCCCCCTGGTCAGACACCCTTCCCTCAGGCCGCTCATGCAACCTCCCTGCTGACCACATTTCACCTTCCCTTGCTTCTTCCCCCTACCCCTGCCTACATGCCCTACTGCCAGCCTGCTCCTGCACCCCACCTCCTGCCTAGACATTGCACTCTTACCCCCCCACACCCTAACTCCCACCCAGATCCTGCACCCTCATCCCTAACCTGTTCACTGGCAGCCCTGTCCTGCACACTAAACCCCTTAGTTTTGTCTCTAGCCCAGAGCCTAGGGGAGACCACAAAATCCACTAAACCTGGGACCTTAATAGGGTAAATCCAGCCCATGGGAAGCCCTGAACCTCAGTCCTCCCCTTCCCCCTTCCTCCATAGAGCTGGAGTGCCAGGGGAGTGAGGTGCCTCAGTTGGGGCCACATCAGTGAGGCTTGGGGTATTTTGGAGGGGTTGTTTTTTTGTATCTCACTTGTGTGGTCCCCAGCTGATTTTCTGTGGATCAGTGACCCCTGACCCAAAACAGGTTCTCTGCCCCCTTATAAATAAAGACATTGTGTGTTTGACATAATATTTTCTTTAAAAATGAAGCCTGGCCAACAAGCCCCAAATTGGGACCAAGCCCCCATCTGGCCACAACATCATAAACACTCCTGTATACACACCCCAGACCCAAATCCTGAGCCCATCATACACCCAACCCCCCCTGCCCTAAGCCCCTCATACACTCCAACCCAAACTCCTGCACCCCTACACCCTCAAGCCTGTGGCTTTCTCAGTCTCATAACCCCCACCCTGACCCCAAAACTCTCCAGCCTGGAGCCCCCTCTCCGAGCCAGCATCCTCTTCTCCACCTCCTCCTGCACTCAAACTCCCTCCCAGAGCTTGCACCTCTCAATCCTTCCCACATGCAAATTCCTCATTCCCACCCCAAGCCCGCACCTCCTGTCTTAACCCAGGGAGAGTGAGTAAGAGACAGCAAATGATGGAGAGGAGGGGAACAGAGAGGGCAGGGCCTAAAGGAAGAGGTGGGGTCCTGGGGAAGGGATAGGGTAGATCTTGTCTTGCCCGGTCAGTTAAAAAGTGATCTTGGGTGTAAAAAGGATGGAGAGTACTGTCCCCCTACACACCCTGCCAACCACCTCCCTTCATTGCCCACCAACCACCTCCCCTCCTGCCTACACACTCCGCCAACCACCTCTCCTTCCCCCTACACACGCCAGCCAACGGCCTTCCACTGTATCCTATAGACCCTCCCACCAACCGCCTCCCACTCTATCCTTTAGACCCTCCCCACCAACCACCTTCCCCTGCCCTACATACCCCCTGACAACTGCCTCCCCTCCCCCATACACAACCCCCACCAACCATCTCCCTTCCCTCCTACACACCTCCTGCCAAACTCCTCCTCTCCCCCTACACATGCCTCCAACCACATCCTTTTCCCCTACACAATGCCTGCCAAATGCCTCCCCTCCCCCCTACACACCTCCCAGTAACTGCCTCTCCTCCCCACTACACAGAGCCCACTCAACAGCCTCCCACTCTATTCTA